TTATTTTAAATTGCAATAATATTTCACAATATTATTGTTTTTACTTTTTGATCAAATAAATGCAGCCTTGATGAGAATTTAAAGAATTTTTTATTTGCTTTCTCAAAATCCAATTTAACTTAACTTTTGATAGATTACATAATAATAATAATAATAATAATAATAATAATAATAGTAATAATAAAATATTTGTTTTCATATTTTTTCATAGTATTTTATGTTTGCACAGAAAATGTGGATATGCATTATTCATACTATACAGGCCTACTGCAGAAATAGTAGTGTGCTACTCCAAACATAGCCACTGTTCTGTTGAATGTAAGAATGAATGTAAAATGTAAAATGGGTTTCCTCACAAACTAATCCTTTATAATTTTCAAGATAATCAGAGAACACCAGGAAACGCAAAAAAGAGATTGTCTCTGTGAAAATACATAAATTACAGCAGGCAGAATGCAAAAAAGGAAAGTGAAACAGCTCGAAATGAAGCAAATCTGCAGCACATTTATTCAGTGCAGAAATTGGCAGCCGATGGGAGTGCAGTGTTTGCAGTGGAAAACATTTTTAGCATAAATTACGGCAGTCCCCCCTGAGCAAAGATCAGCCGTGGCTGTATGTGCTGGACTCTCTCTTTTTTTCTCCATGTGGTTTGGTTCCATAATGATCCATCTCCTCAAAGGTCTACCCACCCAAACACACCTCAACTGGGGTCTGATTTCATCAAAGCGTCACGTCTTGGCTTTGATGGGTGGTGAACCCTGTGGTTTTATTGAGGGTCTCATCTCGCTTTGTCTCTACTCCCTGTCCCTGATCTCATTCAATCTGTACCAGCTAACTTTCATCAGCCACATCTTTTTCTCATCTAAATCCCTCGTTTCTTGCCCTTCCTGCCCCTGCTGTATGAGTCTCATCTTTAGCCAAGCACAGGTCAGTAGAGCAATGCATGTGATGGGAAATATGAAAGGACTGACATTTAACAGGTGTAGGGTCAACAAAACACCAACAACACAATGACACAATTACTGAGCTTTACACATGAGCTTGTCCATACAACGTCCAGTGAAGACATCAAAATGTCCTTCAAGTGTCCACAAACAAGACATGAATATTACAAAGGTAACAAAATGTTACATTATAAAAATTACTGCAGTCTCTAAAAAACTCTCAATTGCTGAATTCTGCAGTCAAACATGCTTATATAACATGTATACATTTTTATACCATTCACCATTTATAATTTTATTTTATACCATTCACAAGTTTAAGGTAAGCATTTTTTTTTCTAAAAAAGGGTATATTAAATTGATCAATAGTGACAGTAAAGACATCTATTATGTTACAAAAAATTATTTTTCGAATAAATGCTGTTCTTTTAAAGTAAAAAATTATGCTCAGTTTGCATAAAAATATTAATGTTTCTTAAGTACCAAATCAGCATATTAAGAAGATTTCTGAAGGATCATGTGACACTGAAAATTCAGCTTTGAAATCACATTACATTTTAAAATATTATTTAAAAAAGTTATTTTAAATTACAATACTTTTTCGCAATATAACTGTTTTTACTTTTTTTAATCAAACAAATACAACTTTTGTGGTCATAATTGACTTCTTTCAAAAACATTAAAAAATCTTACCAACCCCAAACTTTTCAACGGTAGCAAACAATCAATGAGTGGTCCATAGGCTTGCTGTGTGTGGCTGAATTATTAATACACATACAGTGCATAGTTTTTTTTTGCTTTCTTTATAGTTCAAGGCACAATGTCATGCACATACCCTGTTCTCAAGCACTCAAGTCGTTCTCTAAGAGAGCATCTATCCAGGGCTGCCCACTGCATAGCCTCAGGTCACCCTGTCCGGCTCAGTGGGTCACAGGTGAAGTGTTTCAGACAAGACATCTTCCTGCCTTTATACCTAGCTATGCCAGATGCTGAATACAGAATCATGGTTGTAGCTTGTGGCGAATAACAGGCTCTGACAACATCCTTACTCGATAATCCATGTAAAAATTTAAGGTGGCAGCTGGTTTTAAATGGTTTCAAAATATCCAACTGGGACCAGCTAGAAACCATGATCATTAGATGGTCCAACAGTAGATCAACCTAGTAGATCAACCCTGGTCAAGTCTGTAAGAGCTGGTAGATAAAAAAAAAAAAAAGCTACCCGTTTCAAGATCCAGTTGGAAAATAAATGTATCAAGCAAGAAGACCTCTGAGGTTCTCTGCAAGTTCTTACCGGGTCAGTGAGCTCAGGAATGGCCAGACGGTATGTGATAGGGTTACAGTCCTGTGTGTTGCTGACCAGAACACATGGGAGGAACATGGGACCCAGATCATCTCCATCCGAAACATCCAGAGTTAGAGTAGTGGTTGCCGTGCGACGAGTTCCCGGATACGGAGCCCGGTCCTGGAAAAAAAGCTGCCATGTTACCATAGATACAGACCTTTAGATACTTTTAAGACCTTTAGATATTTTTTAATATTTAAACAATCAACTTGTCTTATTTATTTATTTTTTTTTTATTAAATTTTGCCAGAACAAGCAAAAGGTGATTTTTATTTAGCTTTTAGTAAAAAAAAAAAAAAACTAAAATAAACATGCACAAATACATTTGTGTATATCATACTTTGAACTTCAGACCTTATAAAATTGATCTTCAATATTGTCATTGTACAAGATTAAATTGAATAGCACTGAATCCAGAACAGGTAGGAATCATAAAATGTAGTGTAATGTAAATCTCCAAACCTTAAGGAAAGGAAAGGACTTGTGGCCAAGTATGGTTAATTAATTATTGACTTAACGATTTCCAACAATCAGGGTCTAAATAAAATGTGCATTATTCATATAAAAGCCAACTCTGCTGTTCTGTATTTTTCCTTCAATAAGATTTCAGAGAGAAAGAGAAAACACAGTAACAAATCCATCCCCTCATTTTCCACATCCTGAAATGATTCCATTTACTTCAAGGAGAGCTGAGCCTTGATGTAGAGCATTTATTTGAACCATTTGGCTCTATGAAAACATGCTCACGGCCTCTGGGGTCTGGACACCCTCACAGGGATGCTGTTCTAGACAGGTTTGGAGCTAGTTGTGCATGCAGCTCATGTGAGGGTGGAGGGATGCATTTGGAAGTGAATCAGGATGCCGGTTATAAATTAACTTAAATGATTTTAGCAAATGGCTGCAATATAACAAAGAGTGAAAAATTTAAGGGGGTCTGAATACTTTCCGTACCCACTGTATAGGGAGGTGCCTGGAATTTTAAAAAGTGCATTGTGCAAACTGGCAACCTAACAGGCCCAGACCACTTGACCAAAAATTCAAGGTTCTTTTTTTGTAATCTACAGTAAAGGTTACAGATTAAGCAGTCATTTAGCAGACATCTTTATCCAAAGTGACTCCCAGCTCATGGCTCACTCCTTACAGGGATCAGATCAGTAACCCTTTAATTACTAGCACAAGTGTATGACCATTTTAGGGTTGGTCTGACTTTAAAGCAATGTTGTGGGTTATAAACAAGTTAAGGTCTATAAACAACATCTAAACAACTTACTTTTAGCAGTGTTTCTAGGTGTACTTCTGGGTAGGTGATCTTATGTGTTATGCACAATAAACCATCAAAAGCAAACTCAAATATTCTCAAATGCACACTCATAAATGCAAAAACTTGCCAAACGTAATCTTGCAAGTACAAATTCAAACCCATAAACTCACAAATACAAATTCAAACCAATTAACCCACAAATGCAACCTAACAAACTCCCAAAAGTAAACTTGCTAGAATAAAATCAAACGTATAAACTCATAAAATTAAAAACTTGGAAGTACATATTTAAACTCGTACAGTAAACCCTCAAATGCAAACTCACAAACATGAACTCAAATGAACTCACATGAACAAAAAAAATATTTTTGTAGCTAAACAAATAAATAACACAAACATGCAAATAAATAAATAAAAAACAAAAACAAACTAACAAATAAATAAATAAGCACATTTTTACCAACAACATTTACCTGGAGTTACATGGTTAGTTAAGTGATTTTATTTTACACTAGACTCATGATGAACATCTATAATGTTTAAGCTTTGTGGCTGTATTTTCAAAACTTTGTATTTAACATTTATCTCAGCGCTGGGCCTTGCCCAAAAGACATCAACAATCTTTTGTACTGTAAGTAGAGGTCGACCGATTGATCGGCTGGCCGATTAATCGGCCGATTTTTGGCATTTTTTAATTAATCGACATCGGCTGATTGTGCTGCAAATTAGGCCGATTTATAGGCAGGCGCACCGGCGGGCAGCTAAGCGTTGTTGCGGAACTCCCTCTGAGGCTGCATGACATGGAGCAGCTCACACTCTGCAGCCGCGGCTTGTTCACACACAGCTTCAGCTAATGGCAGGGCAAAACAGACCGTTTCAAAAGCGGAATTACGTTTTACACTACTAGAATTTATGCCGGAAAGTTATTATATTCATAAGTGCAACAAGTCATTTGCATGTGAAAGTAGAAACACGTTCAATTCAGACGAAACTTCTGGGCTGATTAT